TAGAATAGAATAGAATAGAATAGAATAGAATAGAATAGAATAGAATAATAGGGTAGAATACAGAGTCAATACAGAATGCAGAATAGAATAGACATAGAGAAGAGAAGAGAAAAAGAACAGAATAGAATAGAACAGAGTAGAATACAGAGTCAATACAGAATGCAGAATAGAATAGAGAATAGAAATTCTTTATTGGCCAAGTGTGATTGGACACACAAGGAATTTGTCTGTGGTGCATGAGCTCACAGTGTACTACTGTAATATGACCTATGACTCGCTGTACTACAGCGAGTCATAGGTCATAGGTCATAAATCATAGTTGCAGTCATTAATCATAAGTTACAAACAGCAACTGATAGGAGAAGATAGCAGGAAAGAGGAGAAGATGAGAAAAGATGTGCAATGAGGCAGGGCTGTGGGAATTAAAGCATCCAGCAGAGCGATGACACGGAAGGGTTGGCTTGGCAGGCGATGCCCTTTGGCGGGAGAAGCTGAAACGGATCCTGTCCAGGACGTGAGGGGTCTGCTGATACTTTCTCATCCCTCTTTCTGGGCCGTGCCTTGTACAGGTCCTCCGTGGGAGCCGTTGTTTTTTTCTGCAGTCCTAACTCTCTGTTGAGATCTCTGCCTGTCCTGCCGTGTCAAACCGGACAGTTCCTGGCTGAGCCTTTATGGATTCTTTCAGAGCTCAGACCCTTGAAAATGCCCTTCCGGGGGTCTCTCCGCCTACCCGGCTTGCCATTCCCAGCCGGGGCTGGAGCTCAGCCTGGCCTGGCCTGCTCTGGTCTCCGCATGGAACATGTTGACCCTCTTCTGCCTGGCCACCTGCTGCATTCCCTCTCGGGAAGCTGTAATTCAGCGGCTCTTTCTGTCCCGCGGCCAACGGCCCCCGGCTGGGGAAGAGCAGGAAAGCAGCGTGTAACCCCCCCCCCCCCGCTCTCTCTGCGTCTTTCGAGGACCCCCCTGTCCGCTTCGGAAGAGCCAAAGTCCTTCCTAAAATGCCAGATGCCATGTTTCTCTCAGGATAGATTCTCTTCCTGTTTACGTCTTTGGCAACTGTTTTTCTGCAGAGTCGGGCTAACTTGGTTAAAAGCATGAAACCAAGTTTGCGTACGTCAAATACCGTTTCCTATACTGGAGGTTTTCAAGAAGAGATTGGTCTGAGATGGCGTGGGTTCTTTTCTGCCCAAGTAGCAGGTTGGACTAGATGACCTCCCAAGGCCCCTTCCAACTCTCTTATTCTGTTATACAATCTTTGGGATATTCCTCATTTCACCCCAAGTTGCTTTTTCCCCGCTTTTATTTTTAACACATTTCACTCTGCTGGAAATCCCTTGTTTATCCCTTTTCTCCACCCCTTTCTAAAACAAGCGTTCCTTCCATCAGAATTGCTCTTCTTTTGCCAGGAAGGCGAAACAAGTCAACCCAGAGCAGCGTTTTGTCAACCCTGGCAACTATTAAGATGTGTGGGTGATTTAGTTCCCAGCATGGCCGTCTGGGGAATTCTGGGAGTTGAAGTCCACCGGTCTTAAAATGGCAGAAGTTGAGCAAGGGTCCCATCTACTCGGCATGGGTCAGTTTGAAGAACTCGGTCCAGGGCTGAAGGTTTCACATAGGTGCAAAGAAGGAGGATACCAGCCGTAAAGAATATTTGTAGCTCAGGGTTGAACTGACAGGGTCCTTGGTGCTCTCTGAGCTGGGTGGTTTTCTTGCAGGCGTCTCATGACCCAACTAGGGAACATCATCAATGCCAGATAGCATAAATCAGAGGCCTGCAAACTTGGCCGCTTAGACTTGTGGACTTCAACTCCCAGAGCTTTGCTGGCTGATGAACTCTGGGAGTTGAAGTCCACAAGTCTTAAAGCGGCCAAGTTTGGGGACCCCCCGAGACAAATGCTTGTGGGTCTGGAAACAGGAGCACTTGCCCGGAGGGGAAGACCGACTGGGACCCTTGGAAGAAGGGCATTGCAGAGCGGAGGGCCAAGGGGTCCAGAGGGGGCAGGACCTGGGGAAATGGCCCCACGCTCCGTAGGAGCAGCTCAGCCCGGGAACCGATCTCCCAGGAAGGTTTGGGTTTCGTTTTTGCTGGATGTGACGAAACTCCCGCCTGGACGGCCATCAACGCGAGAGATGCTTTCCTTCCGGATTTGCCCACTAAGTCAAGCGAGGGAGGCCCCTTGGCTTAAATGGACCCTCCCAGCCCCGGAGTCTATATTTAGGCTCAGTTCTCATTGCGGAAAGCTTGGCCCAGGGCCGGGGGGGGGGGCAATGGGGGGAGCCGCCCCTCCCTCCCAGGTGTGTCAGCAGAGCGGCTGGTGCCTTGAAACCTGCCTTTCCTGTTCCGCCTTCTGGCCTGGCAGGGCATCTCCCGGGCTCCAACAAGCCTTGGCGGGCTGGAGCTTGTGGGTTTTTTCCCTCCCTGGGGTGGGGGCGCTGCCCTTCTGTGTTTCCCACCCCCTCCTTGGCTGGCCGGAGGGCAGTTTTCCAGGGGAATTGCCTTATCTTGGGCACGGCTGAGCTAGCCGTTGATTGACGCCTTCTGCTTCAGAGAAGGAGTTGGGGCTCCTCTGGGAGGCCGAGAGCGAGTCTTTTCTGGGGGGGTCTCCCGGGTAGAATAAGATCAGGGCCTAGAATAGAATATAGAATAATATAGAATATAGGATATAGAATATAGAATAATATAGAATATAGAATATAGAATAGAATAAAATATAGAATAAGAATAGAATAGAAAATAGAATAAGAATAGAATAGAATATAGAATAAGAATAGAATAGAAAATAGAATAGAATAGAATAAAATAGAATAGAATAGAATAGAATAGAATAGAATAGAATAGAAT